CTCGGGGAGCTGCCGCCGGGTGAGCACTCCCCCCTCCCCGCCCGCCCCAAACCCTGCACTGACTGCGCGTTCATGTCCTCGCGGGCCGGCGCCATCGATGTGGGGAACTGAAGGAACCAGTAAATGAATTCCTCCATGCGGAAAGTGAGCCCTGAGCTGTGACGCCTGTAAATGTCTCCGTTGTGGGGTCGGTTCTGTGGGCTGGGATGGCCGCAGCACCAGCGCCCCGCTTCCCATGTGCGGCCGAAGCCCAATAGGCACAGCGATCACGCTTTGAAAGCACGAGCCCGCTCACGTGCGTGTGCGTGTTCTTTTGTGGGTAACCGGGCGGCATTCTTGAAGTCGAACTGCCCTGGGAAACGGTGCAGCAGTAGCAGCCAGGGGACGCTCAGGGTTCCTGTCGTGCGGCCGGAGCTGAGCTCTCAGCACTGAACACGGCGGCCTTTGGCCTTGGGAGCCGTTTGCTGGGAGCGGTGAGAGCGTGTTTTGAGTCAGAGGTTTGATTCAACTCCAGCACGTTACACGCTTCCTCTGAGCCTCAGTACTGCTCTGTAAAGGTGCTAATCATCTTAAGGGCTGCCGTAAGAATAATGTGGAAAAGTAAAGTGTAGGGCCTGGCAGAGCGACCTCTCAGTAAATAGTGGGGTTTCCCTCCAGGTTTCACTGTAGTTTTCAGCCTGAGTCCAGTCGTAGGATCCACTGGAAGCGCCGCTGAAGGGATGAGGTACAGCTGTCAGTGAGGTTGCAGCCCCACCGCCAAGTCCATTCATTGCTTGGCTCCCCTTTTGTCCACGAGAAAAACGGTTGCTTTCATTACCTAAGTTTAGCCAGAACACTAATATGCGGAGGTATAAACCCAGATACGAGCATTGGTGCTGTTTTCAACTGCTGGGTGATGAAGTCATACGCTGAATACATGTCACCCATGACCTTTAGGTTAATGGCGGCCCTTTCCCAGCCTGGGATTGAGGGGAAGGCAGCAGCTGTTAGGGAACACTAGGGTCAGGTGATCAGTGGCTGTGAGGCAGGTTCCCATAAAGGTGCTTGGCACCTAGAGTTGGGCTCCCGGGTGTATCCAGGATCCGTAACCAGCTGCCCGTGTCAGGTTGGGCAAGTCACATGCTTTAGTGTCCGAGTCTCTAAAATGGGCTAATTGTACCTACTCCTAGGTGGTAACAGTACCTTCATATCTTAGTTAATACTTGTAAAATGCTTTTAAGGTCACTAATGTTCCTTACTGTTTAGGAATGGCCGCATAAAAAATTACCCTTTTAGTAGCTAGTAATTACTGGGACTTATTTGGTGCCAGATACTGTGCTAAAGCACCTTTTATTGACATTATGTAACCCCCACAACTCCAACTGACATGTACTATCATCCCTATTTCACTAAAGAAGTAAACCAAGGCACATAGCCAAGTAGGAAGCCAAGCTTACACACCACCTTACCCATAGGAGCAAAAGGTGCTATATCCGCTGTACTCTCCACCCCCAAGCATGTCTCTCCCCTCAACTTCCCCAGCAACTAATCAGACCGAGATCAGAAACAAGTCTCTCTGTTGGAAATGTAAGATGAATGGCATCTGTTCTGAAAGCATTCATTCCCTTTAGTCTTTCTCTGTCTGTTTAGTCCAGGGGTCCTCAAACTTTTTAAACAGGGGGCCAGTTCACTGTCCCTCAGACCGTTGGAGGGCCGGACTATAGTTAAAAAAAAAAAAACTATGAACAAATTCCTATGCACACTGCACATATCTTATTTTGAAGTAAAAAAACAAAACGGGAACAAATACAATACTTGTATTTGCATGTGGCCCGCGGGCCGTGGTTTGAGGACCCCTGGTTTAGTCCCTCCCAGTCACTCAGGAAGGAGTCGGGCACATAAGAGAACTCGGGGGCTATTTATTAGGAAAGAGATGTCAGTGCTTTATCAAAGTTGAAGAGGTCAGACGGGAGGTGGGACAAGGCCTCTCAGCTGGGACATTTCTTGGCCACAATGAGGACAGCAGAAGGCACAAGTCCTGAAGATGAAGGAAGAAAGCAGATTTAAGCCACGTACCTACCTTCTGTCTCCCAAATTCCTGGCCTCACACCTCCACCAAGTCCCTTCTTTGCAGCCCTTCCCTCTCAGGCATGTCCCTATCAACCCATGTCCTGCTTCAGGTCCCACACGTCATACCCAGCTCCTGCAGAGGCCGCTCCATGTCCGCCTCCGAGAAGGCCCGCCGGGGGAAGCCACTGAGCAGCTGCACAGGGTCCTGGTCCCCGCCCGGCTCCTCCCCACGGTGGAGCTCCACATAGAGCCGGACAGCTGCCAGCTGTTCCCGGGCCCGGAACGTCTGGGTCAGCGAGGTCCCATCTGGCAGCCGGACCTGGAGGGCAGGTGAAAGCCGCAACACGGTGTCAAAACAGGGAGGGACCCAGCAAGGAAAAGAGCAAAGCTGGCCCCTTCCTCAGATGGAACCAGCACCATTACTACTACAAGCACCTAATGAACAACCACTTGGGTTCTGCTCGACTAAACAATGAACAGAGACAGACTCCTTGCTCCCTCACAACTTATGAGTCCACAAAACTACCTGGAAAAACACCATGATAGATAAATGAATAAATGTTGGCTTTGCAAACAGCTGTGTAATACAGCCAATGGAAGCATGAACAAGTAAAGAGGTAACTGCTGAGTAAGAGGGAGGTATGGATTTAAATAAGACTGGGCAAGTGAAATCTGATACTATTCCTAAGAGGAGAGAAGGTAGGATTTCAAAAGTCATTTACAAAGAAGGGAGAAGTTTGGCAAAGGAAACATGACTGAAAAAAACTCTGGGCCCTAGCTTATCTGGCTCAATGGACAGAGCTCCGACCCTGGGACTGAGGGGGCCCGGGTTCGATTCTGGTCAAGGGCACGTACCTCGGTTGCAGGCTCGATCCCTGGCCCTGGTCGGGGCTCCTGCAAGAGGCAACCAATTGATGTCTCTCTCTCACATTGATGTTTCTCTCTCTGTGTCTCTTGCCCTCCACTCTCTAAAAATCAATGGAAAAATCCCGGGTGAGGATTAACAAACCAACAAAGCTCTGGGCTAGGGGCGTGACAGGCCAACACAGGGGTCCCGGAGCAAGAAGGAGAATCAGTACCTGGATGCGGCACTGGTCGTACTCCCGCTTGCTGGGAGGCTCCTGGCTGGGAGAGGAGGGAACAGACCCTGGCTCGGCGGGTGCGGATGGCGGAGAACTCACACTGCCTCCATACTGCAGGACAGAGCAAGACGCCATCAGGCACCCGCCGGCCCGCAGGAGACACAGAGCCCCGCCTTGCCCTCCGAAGCAGAAAATGCGGCTCGTGGGCCTCATCCACTTAATTCCTGCATCTTCCCAGCCGCCTACCTTCTTGGCTCTCTCTGCTTTGTCTCTTTCAATCTTTTCTCGGACTCTCTGCCTGGAACGCAGACAGGAAGAAAGCAGGTCAGGTCCTGACAAAGCAAATATGGATTCCTTCCTCAGCTCTGACCAGCGTCCCACCTGGCGGCTAACTCCTCGGCCTTCTCCCTCCTGCGCTCCTCCGCCGCCCGGCGCATCTCGTCTTCCTGCAGCCGCTGCCGGGCAGCGGACAACTCCTGCCCTTGTCTCCGGCGCCGCCGCTCCCGTTCCAGCGCCTCCCGCTCCTCTCTCTCTTCGCGCTCCCGCTGTTTCTGGGCCACCAGCTCCAGCATCCTGTGTGCAAACAGGAAAGCTCAAGGGAAATGACCGTGGAGTGGAGAGGTGGGCTGATAACAAGGGACTCGGAAAACAAGCCAGGGGCGATGTGTCCCAGCACAAAAGGAAACGCCGAGAGGACAGGGGATGTGGCCAGTTGGAGACACTGATCAGACTGCGCCCGGAGAGAGGCACAGGGTGACCCTCCAACGCGCAGGGCCGTGCCGCCTACGTGCCTCTTCGTCTGCTCCTGCCTTTCCTCTTCGCTCAGAACGAGTTTCCCTTCTTCCGCGGGGGATCCGGGCCCTGCAAACAAGCCATCGGCGTCACCCCCGGCATCTCCTCGGGCCCCTCCACAGCCACACCGCGCCCCTCGGTCAGGACCTTCGGGGCCACCCTGCTCCGAGGAGGTGGGTTCTCGTCCCAGGACATGTCCGAGGGGGGTCGGCAGCGGCTTGTCCACATCGGGGTCGTCTTCGTGCTCCATGAGCCTGGCGGAGAGAGTCGGCAGGGAGGTCGCCTCGAGGCTGCCCGCCCCGCCCCCGTCCCCGCCCCGGGGTGGGCGCTCACCAGTCCATCGCGGCCTCGATGCCCTGGTTCCCTGTGAGGGCCAGAGCCTTCTCCCTGGGGGCAGAAACACCGTGATAG